GAACAGTGTATGGTGTTTTTACTCACACCTAATGGTGTGTGTTTGGTGATGCAGGGCTCTGTTTACTCTGTTTTGTGGGGTGTATTTCCTAACGTTGATGGTGCATATTTGGTGAACTATTGGTGTTGCCGCACCGTAAGAAATAACCGCACCGTAAGACACTGCCGCACCTGAACCCGCCTATATATATATATATATATATATATATATATATATATATATATATATATATATATATATATATATATATATATATATATATATATATATATATATATTATTAAAAATTAAATTAAGGCAGCTGGCAGTAAGGCCTCAAGCATCCAAACTCAATTCGTCTTCGCAATTCGCATTGCTACGAAAGAACGAAACCCTCAGCCGACTGCTGACAAACGACGACGAGAGTCTCATCTCCGGTCTCCGCCTTCACCCTTGCTGACGAAGAAGCTGCACGGCCTTCACCTCAGCCCTTGCCGACGTCGACGAAGCTGTCCGGCACTCCGACCTCCGCCTCAGTCTCGAAGGCCGAAACAGGCATAAGAAATTAAGAATTCCTATTTCCTTTTTTCTCTTTAGCAAAATAAAATTCCAGCACAAAAATTCGAGCTCAAAGATCAAGCTAGAACTCGAGCTCGAGCTGCTCGAAAATTACCGAGCTCGAGCTCGAGCTCGGCTCGGCTCGTTTACTCCCCTACATTTTACATTCAATCAGCTACTAGTAAACAACTAATTTACCAAACAGTTTTTTCTAACCAGCTAATATAACCAACTGGTCAAACCCGCTAATGCAATCAGTCATCAACTAATAGCTAAACCAATCCACTATCAGCTATCAGCCGTTTGCCAAACACTCCCAAAGTGTATATAAAGTTTAACTTGTGTTCAATATTATAATAAACTTCTCCAAAAAAGTTGAATCCTTAACTCCAAAGGCCTCCCATATCACGACCCGACAAAGTATTTGGGAGAATGTAAATTAGGGTGATTCCCTGGCCCGACATAGCATTTGAGAAAATGTAAATCACAGTGACTCATGCTGCCGAGGTTTGAACATTAATATTTTCTCTCAAATACTACCTACTAAACCAGTGAGTTAAACCCGTGCAGACAATATACTATACTAAACTTGAATACTTGAATGTTGTCAATTTGTCATGCTTTTTTTTTTGGTACAACGGAGGGGCGGCCCCCTATTAAGTGACTCTGCGAACACAAGCTCCTCCTGCGTCAACAAGCAGAAGATCTCTTAAGCAATCCGATGGTTCCTCCAGGACATACGTTCCCCAATTGCAATCATGCCCCATGTTAATAAGTTTATCCGCACATTTATTACCCTCTCTCAAAACGTGTTCCACTTGAACTCTCTTAAGTTGCCAATCATTCTTCCAAAAGGCTGAACCCTAACCCTAAAGGCCTTACGTTGCCAATCATGTTTTTGCAGTCCGTGATCATGGCATTTAGATTGTGGTTGTTACTGGACTCTTTGTGTTGTCAATTGTCATGCTAATTTAATTCTAAAGAACTTGAAGTTTCGTTTAGAATCGTGATAGCAGAATTTGAATTTTTTATTTTATTGCATAAAAATCATGACTTCACCATGACTATATACTATTTTATGTGGAAGATGTTAGAATTTACTAGTAATTCACCCGCGTGATGCACGGGAAAAAATTATGTTATTATAAATATAAATAAAAAAATAGAAAAATTAAAATATTTTAAATTATCTAATATAATAATATTTTTGAGCTTCCATTGGTCAAGTATTTATTATTTTTATAGAATATAAAATTACAATTAAAATTAAAATTAAAATTATAATTATAATTATAATTTTGTATGGTTAATATAATCTCTAATTATATGCATATTCAAATAAACTTATAGAGGGAATTTACATAATTACATTAATTTATTCTTAATTGTATTTCATCTATATTATAATTTTCACAATACGAATAATAACTAAGATAATTACATTTGAAAAGCAAATTTCAAATTTTGTATGTGTAAATTTAAACTCTAATTGAACATATTTTTTATATGATTATATAATATATAGCTATTTTATTTTTCAAAAGTATATTTTTTATATGATTATATAATATATAGCTATTTTATTTTTTAAATGTACGTTGTGCTTTTTTTTATATAATAAAGGATGTTGTGGCATTAATTGTAACATTAACTATTTTCCAAACCATATAGCTTTATTATATAAAGGATGATAAATATCTCCTTAAACTTTCAGCTTAAATTATATTTGTATGTGTTTCTCTTGTATAATTGTACATGCTTAAAGACTTTAGCAATTCCATCTCTAATTTCTCACAATTATTAATATATTTGTTATTAACACACGCGCTCACATCCTACCCATGAAAATGAAAATGTTGTCGAGTTAGTAAATTTTGAGATTTTCTTGATATGGGAAAATTTAACAATTGAAATCAACAATTTATGATTCAAGAAATGAAGTTTAAAAAAATTAAAAAAAAATATCATTTCATTCATAATAAAGTTTCAAATATGAACCTTATATAAATTAAAAAATAAGTGTCGAGAGAAATATCAATTAATATTTGATGTGATCAAAACTTGAATTTAAAATGATTTATACTATTACAAATAAATAAATAAATGAATAGATAAATAAATACATAAATAAATAAAAGAGTTTAAACAAAAAAAAGGTATCCTAGTCTAGTTTAATTTATATAGAGGTAGGAAGACTCGAGGTCCTCTTAATATGAAATAGAGTAGTTTATCCCACTAGACCCGCGCGGGCTTAGCTCAATGATTTAGTGGACAGTATTTGGGATAAGAGACCAATGTTTGAGCCTCGGCAACGGCAGTGTTGAAATTATGTCCAAAGTGGGCAGATTCTTTGTGCACACCGGCATTTGGCCCTGTCTACTAACTCATTGAGTCACCGTGATTTACATGACGGTAAGAGTTTATCCCACTAAATTTTGGATGAGATATTATTTAAAAGTGTTAATTTCATTGTTAATTTCATTTTTTGTCCGTATCAGTTCACTTTAAGTCTTTTTTTATTAGAACATTTACTTTAAGTAATAGTATCATTGTGGCAAATTTCATTGTTAATTTCATTTTTTGTCCTAGATTTATAGGTATCAGTTCACTTTAAGTCTTTTTTTATTAGAACATTTACTTTAAGTCATAGTATTATTGTGGCATGACTATTTTTTGTTCTTTATCAACAAAACAGTTTAAATATCGTTAAATACAATGACATTTCGGTCTTTAATTATGAATGTTTCAAAAAAAATAAATGTAAAAAATATAGCGGTTCAACCTACTTTGTATTAAAAAAAAAATTGAAATGTGTTTGTATTTAACGATATTTCAACGATTTTGTTGATGGAGGACTAAAAATGATCATGCCACAATAATACTATGACCAAATGAGGATATTCTAATTTAAAAAAAAAAAAAAAAAAGACTAAAAGTATATTGTCATCTATAAATCTAAGGCCAAATATGAAGATATTGTAACATTTTATATTGTTAATACTACTGACTTTCTCAATCACTTCCACTGAGGCTCGAACCCACAGCCTCCCATATAAGGGAGCAACTTAATGCCATTGGACCGAAAATCCTTGGCTAATTATTATATTTAACCCCAAAAAATTATCATATATTCTCCTTGTGTCCAAAAATTGGACTTGTTATACCATGGACCAGGGTCCACCTTGCAAGGTGGACTCTAGTTCTAAATTGTGTACTTTTAGTATTGAAATTATGACTTCTATAATATAAATTGTATTTCTAAGTCAAACCAAATAATATTGTAGAAAGAAATTTATGAATACAATATAGGGCCATCAAATCCTAATCTGTTAATATTGTGTGACTGCAGTATTTGAAGGGATCTTGTGAATACAAAACAAGGTAATCAATTACATATATGTTAACATTGTATGTTTGTAGTATACAAATTGTGAATTTTTAAAAGATAAATTGTCAACATTTAGTATGTAAATTGTGAATATTTGGACTCGAGTAATTTGGGAAAAAATTGATGTCCTTGGAAATTGCAATGTCCCACGAAAATTGGCAACACCTTAAATGCAACAATATATATTATTTCATCACTCAAAATACCCTTTCTCATATGTCATTATATTTTATTGAAAAATAAAAGAAAAGAAATAAAATCAATAGCCTACTTTTTTCTTTTTCAAAATCAATCAAAACAATAAAAAGTGGGATATATGTAATAACAATGACTCACTTTAAAATAATAATAATAATAATAATAATAATAATAATAATAATAATAATAATAATAATAATAAGATTTTTTATAAGAAAAAAATTATAATACAATTATTATGAATAAATAAAAATGTACAATAATCATTTAAATTTTTGTGTCTAATCAAAATGGATAATACTTTTGGTGTGGAGATAGTAAATACTTATACATTAGAAACATAACATAATTGTTGCAATTTGTTAATTCTCGATTATGGATCGATAATTATTACTCAAATTAATTTTGTGAATTACTCTTCTCCCCAATAAATTCTTTTTGCTTATTATTCACTTTAATTGTCTTTTCATTTTTATCCGATTTTAGGGTTTAAGAAAAAACGGTGATTCAATAGTTCAGCAGACAATGTCGGCCAAATGCTTATGCACCCACTTTAAAGATAATCCCGACACTGCCACTGTCGAGGTTCGAACCTTGATCTCTTCTCCCAAATACTGCCTACTAAACCAGTGAGATAAGCTCAAGCGGGCCATAGCATTACCATTTTTCCTACTTAACGCGTAGTTAAAATCTTGTTTAACGTTTATATTTTTATTTTAAAAAAATTATAAAAGTATAACATTAAGTTTGATTCAATGTATGCATTTTTTTTCCCACTTTCACCTTGGATTTTCTTTTTTTTTCTAAACTTCTCATTTCCTCAACTCCTTTTTAGGAACTTCATAATCAACATAATTATTTATTTAATTATTTATTTATGATGATAATGAAGTTCCTAAACTTTTGATATTCCATAACTCCCAAATGCACTCTATATATAAGTTATTCCTCCATTGTTGATTCCCAAGAACAAACTAGTAAGCTTTTGATCCTGCCAATATATATTTTTACCTCCATGGCTCACTCTTTCCTTTCTTTTGCCATTCTCTGCCTATTCTTCCTTGTTCCACCCTCAGAATCAGGTAACTTTTTTATGGTTTATTTTTACCCTCTTTTCCAATGTGCATCTTCATTGTTAAGCAAGTGATATTTACTGCATTTTCCATGTCATCTCAGGTGGTCTTACAGGACATGAAAATGCAGAGAAAGTTGAACAGGTGAAGTGTACAGACCCTAGAAAGGCAGAGCCACCTGCCCCATCTCCTAGCCAGGTAAGTTGATCACAATTTATACAATGAAAAATGATAATTATGCGGGGAATCTCAACCAAATTGGTCAAACAAGACTTGGTAACCACAAGGTTACAAGTTTCGACTCCCAAATGGGATGGCCTATTAGCATTTTTTTATTTGAGCCAGTCAGCTACGGGCTGGTTAACCACTTTGTGGCCCTTTGCTAATTAGGGCCACAAGGTGGGGTTTATTCAATAGGAGTGGCTTATTAGCCTTTTTTATTTAAGCCGGTTAGCTACTTGCTGGTTAACCTATTTGTGGTCCTTTCTTGATTAGGGCCACAAGGCAAGATTTTACTTAATGTAGACTCTCTCGGGTAGTGGCTATGGGTTTTCCTTAAAAAAGATGAGAATTGTTTTTTTATGATTTAAATTAGGAGAAATCATGGTGCATTCCAAAGCCATCAGCATCTTACCAGCAACTGGTGGACAACATGAGCTATGCATGTAACCTGGTGAACTGCTCTGCTGTCCAATCTGGTGGCCCTTGCTATTACCCCAACAGCCTCATCAACCATGCTTCCTTTGCCATGAACCTTTACTACCAGAAAGCAGGGAGAAACGACTGGAACTGCAACTTCAAGAACTCTGGCGTTATCGGTGTATCTGATCCCAGCTATGGTGATTGCAAATTTGACTGTTTCTAGACCCCCCAAGTTATCATCTTTGGGTTTCATGTTCTCCCTTGGATGTTCTGTTTCTAGGCTGTGGTTTCCAGTGTTGTTCACTATTTCTTGCTTTTATTTGTGGGAATCTTAGAAATTTTATTTACTGTCAGATAATAGATGTCATTATGGTTTTGAAGTAACAAAAACAACCTTAAAGACAGGATTCTGTCAAATGTTCTAAAACATTGTTCTAGCCATAGACAAACAGGAATGTTTTAACCAAATGAGAGACGGAATCCGTTGTTGAAATAAAGTATGAAACTTTTGCACATGTGATTGGAGCACAAATGGCAAAAGCCCAAATAATATACTGTCATTATTGTCGGATAGTGGAAACAGTAAAAAGCCAGTAGAAAACAACATTTGCAGTTACAGAAGATAATAGAAAACAGCAGCCAATAGTTAACTTAGAACAGGTTAGACTAACATAATACCTGGTGTCATCAGACAATATAGAAAGAAAACACTAGCACAGTAGATCTCGTCCTTGGAGTTTGCCTTTGCACCGAAGTGGCATATGAGTCACAGCAAAAGCATTAAAGTAATCCCGAATTCCCCACAATGAAACTGAAACCAAAGATGCATAATTAGCCAAGCCAGACATTCTAAAGAGTAGTGAAGGAACTCTGTTTCATCATATTATTGAACAGGTGTGTTGTGGCTTAGCTCCGTAAATTCTTTATTCCTAGTTTCTGCACTTCAACCTTGAGCGATTTCAGATACCTAACAGTTTCGTCGAGGACGGCCACGGTATTCATCCCGTTTGCACCAGGAACAATTCCTCTTAACGTCTTCACCATTTTCCTCAGTTTCTTTCTTTTGCTGCAGCTTTCACCACTGACAGAGGACCTCTTGTGGCACGGGTAATTCGAGCAAGAATCGGGTGAACTACTACCATAGTTTGCATCGGTGCGTGCTGTGCTAAGTTCTTCGTCCTCACTTTCCATGTAACTCTCCTCTTCAAAGCTCATCAAATCCATCAATGCATCAATGTCATCTGAATCTTCTCGTTGAGATGAAATTTCTCGATCCTCATTGTTGGCGTTTATTTTCTCCATACCATTTTCATAAAAAGGAGATGCATTGATGTTTAGATGAGGGTAAAAATTGGAGGCCATTGCAGGGTGGAACATGATCTGGCTTCTATAATCCGTCTGATCAAAGATGATGAAATTCTTGGGGCAAGCCTCGGAAAGCTGCAATTTGACATTCTGGGAGGGCAGAGCGGGATTGTAGCCTGGAGATACGGCCATCGTATCCAAAAAAGATGTAGCAGAAGCATCGTAATTATAGGCACTACCTACTCCGTCTGCAAGGGGCAGCATAGTCTTTTGAGGTAAGAACGGTTGGTTACTCTGCATGAGTCACGGAGACGCAAATATGTGTTGAAGAAAGGTTTTGAATATAGAAGGAAGGTTTTGAATAACAGAACTAAAAGCTAAAATGTCTGGGGTGCGTCCATCGTAAAAGAAGCAGCAAACAAATCCCATACAAACCGGCAGCTACTGCATTGATCACTTGATTACTTCTTCCAGAACTCCACCACAAAAAGAAGTAGAAAAATCCCACCTTCCCCAAGCGTCCAAAGAAGCAACACTACGTAACAGGTTTGAGCAACTGACGGAAATACTCAGCCTGTAAACAACAAATCACCGAGTTTAAGCTAATGCTTTCCCAAAAGCCTTTGTCACATGAACAGGTTGGGGTAAAGTGGACAAAGTTGTGGATATTTACTAAAATAATGCGCAGATACAGATTAAAAATCACAGTTTTTATAACATGAAATTCAGTGAATCCCATTTGCAGAGGGCCCAAATATGTCAGACAGTTAGCCTAACTAACATTTCGACAAGAATTAAAGATAATGAAAAGTATGAAGAAGCGGAATTTTTGGTTTAAGTATAAAGGCATTTTAAGAAATTAAGGTCAAAAAAAGACGACAGGGAAGCCGTCTAGGCAAATATGGACTAGAGCTATAGAAACAAAGACTTCCTTTGAAACTCTAATTTCAAAAATATGTTGAATTATATAAATTGGTAAATATGGACCTATAGATGCTGATATTAGCATCTACCTACCATTTACTAACTCTAATATGAGCATAATACCATTACAACCGCAAAGTTATAACAAGCAACTTATAGAAGATTGAAAATCTCAAACGAGAAACACACTTACCTGACAAACTTGCATCAATTGGTCATAAACGATGTTCCCAACACACATTTTAAACTGTCCAACTTCCTTGACTGCTCTGTATCTCTTTAGTGTAAAAGCAATGTACATTCTCACTCCTCCAACAGATTTTAGACTCAGACCCTTTTTCACTACAATCAAAACCCTCTGAAATAGACATACAGAAAAGAAAAGGTATTGTAACACCAACATTGTTAAATCATCATAATCCCAAAAACAAAAAACTAGAACCATTAGAAAATAGAAATGTATCTTTTCCAGCGTTCTTTAATTGAAGAGTCTTATGAATCTCTTTTAAGATAATTTCAAATGGTAATGAGATACTGACCAAATACAACCAATTTTACAGAATCATGAGAAAGAACACAACCATTCGCACACACTTCCCACAGTAATACACAGACGAGAGCGCCCACGGCATGATGATAACTCCAGCAGACTTCAATATGTGTATCCACCCACCCAAGGCTGCCTGTTTAGCCCAAAAATCAATCTGTGAATTTTTTTTTTTTTTTTAAATCCAGAACAGCACTACTTAAAGTTGTAACAATTTGTCAAAAGCAACATAGCATAGAAACCCCAGATCAGCATTTATTATTAACTCCCACCCACAATATTTATTACAAAATCTTTTACATGTACTCAATTACACCAAAAAAAACAGTACTAAAAATGATAAAGAAGCATGACTAACAAGGGAACCATAAAACCTAGGAAAGATACAATTTTTTCACAACTCAACAAAAACATTGAGAAATATGAAAACCAGAGGATCAAATCAAGAAAAACATATAACCATCCCAAGCCAAATATACAAATCGATTGGGTATCTCAAAAAGACAAGATCTTGATACATAACAGCAAGAAAACTGGCCTAAAAATCCTCAGGTATCTTCTCTGCATACGGAATTAACATAAAGCATGCCATTTGAGCTGACCCAGAAAACGAAAAACTAAATCCAGCACAAAAACACAGCAGGAAAGAGAAACAAAGCAACATAAAAGGGTAAAGAAGATATCAATCCGAAAATACCAAATCGGAAAAAGAATTGAGACTCTTTCTGAGGAATCGCCGGCCCAAGTATCCGAACTTTCGCTAGATTTTTACTGCAGCTGAGATGGGAGGAAATGGAAGGTAGTGAGAGAAAGCAAATGGAAGTGTTGAAGGAGAGAGAGAGAGAGAGAGTGAGTAGGCGAAGTGTGCGAAAGAAGTGGTGAAGTAGATGGGGGCCTTGGGATACGTGACCACGCAAGTGGAACAGTTGTTGGTGCTTGGTGGAACCGGGGTCATTTATTTCAATAACTAGTTTTTTACGCGCATTGCGCAATTGAGATAATGCCCAATGTTTTTTTTTTTTTTAAATAAGTACTTCAAAAGTATATTAAGGCAGGATTATATTGAAATTGTTCATACATAGATAATTGAAGGTTGAATTTGCGTATTTAAATAGGTAATTCTTCTCCCAAAGGTCGAGTCCTCAACCCCAAGGGCCCCCCACACTCCGGCCCGATAGAGCATTGTGGGAAGTTGTAAATCATGGTGACTCAATGGTTCAGTAGACAGGGCCAAATGCTGATACGCACAAGGAATCTGCCCACTTTGGACATAACTCTCGCACTGCCGCCGCCGAGGTTCAAACGTTGGTCTCTTCTCCCAAATACTACCCACTAAACCATTGAGCTAAGCCCGTGCGGGTTAAATAGGTAATTCTCAGTTTACAAATGCAAGATAATATAATCATGATTGATTATAATTGTCAATAAAATAATTGTATAGGTATAATTGAAACCAAATACAGGACATAAGGGAGAACACATAAAAATTAGGGCATAAAATATTAAATATATACTAATATTGTTTGAGGAGATTCCGACATTAGAATTTGTGGTTAAGTTCTATTAATACTTTAATATTAGAATTAGATTAATGGTGTAGTTATAATTCTATATTAGATTTTAGTATTAGAATTAGACTAACGGTGAATTAACGGAAAAGTTAAATGGATAATCATATAATTAAGGATAAATTAGAAAATCTTAAAAGAAAAAAATTATAACCTGAACAATATAAACCATTCATTTGATTTAATAATTTGGCGGTCATTTTTTTCTACCCAATGTTAATAATTAAATAAATTCGCTGGTAAAATCCGCTAGTATAATCCGCTAACGGCTGATTGTCAAACAAAGACATTGCGAGGTAGTTCTCACTTCAATTTGTTGTGTGATTTGAATACTCTCTTTGTCACAAAATCTCTCAAAGTAGTTAATATGGTTGGCTTTATTAATTATATTTTTTTTAATTTTTTCATGGTATTAATAAAATACTTAGTAAATAAATATATAGTATTATTTTGTATTATAACTTTGATATTTAATTAGAAAAATAGTGCACAAAAAACATAATAGATAATGTAGTGAATATAATCAATTGATGAATTTGAATGTAAAAATTTTTACATTTGAAAAAAATAAAGACAATTTAACTAATGAAAATATTTCTTTTAATTAATTTATTGATAATTAATAATTTTTTTTCACTGAATAAAGACATTGTAAGGACAATGTAGCGAATATAATCAATTAATAAATTTGAATATAAAGAATTTTTACCAGGACTATGTGGTCCAATGGTACCCGGGTTGGACTTCCATTTGGAAGATTATGAGTTCAAGCCTCAGTGGAGGCGTTATAGGTTCTTTGTGTTTCAGTAGGTTGAGAAAGTATATGAACAGATACTACAATGTAATAGAGCCAGTAACTTTCAAAAAAAAAAGAATATAAAGAATTTTTACATTGAAGAAAAATAAAGACAATATAACTAATAAAATTAATTCTCTTATTTAATTTATTGATAATGAATAATTTTTTTTTTTTTTGAATAAAGGCATTGTGGACACATAATTCTAAATTAAAGAAATGCATATGTATTATTTTTTGTTGTAACTACTAAATTATTATTTATATATCTACTATCTACTATACTAATAAGAGCCCAAGAGAGTTAGGCCTATAATGGGTAGAAAAAATGGCGGTCACAGATTTTAATCAAATGAATGGCTCAGATTGATTAAAAGATTGATCAGATTTAAATTTTACACTAAAATTTCTTAAAATACCCACACACCGTTACTAATTTCGTTAAAATTTTAAGAATAGCCGTTAGTTCACCGTTAACTTACTCATTGATTTCAATAAAAAAAAAAAAAAAAAAAAAAAGTCTTAGGTTCGAACCTCATCCCAATCAAAGTTGGCATAATTAGTACTCTATTTTACTCTTATTAAATTATCTAAATAATAATTTAGTAGTTACAAAAAAAAAATAATAATACATATGCATTTCTTTAATTTAGAATTATGTGTCCTCAATGCCTTTATTCAAAAAAAAATTATTCATTATCAATAAATTAAATAAGAGAAATAATTTTATTAGTTATATTGTCTTTATTTTTTTTCAATATAAAAATTCTTTATATTCAAATTTATTAATTGATTATATTCGCTACATTGTCCTTACAATGTCTTTATTCAGTGAAAAAAATTATTAATTATCAATAAATTAATTAAAAGAAATATTTTCATTAGTTATATTGTCTTTATTTTTCTCAAATGTACAAATTTTTACATTCAAATTCATCAATTGATTATATTCACTACATTGTCTATTATCTTTTTTGTGCACTATTTTTCTAATTAAATATCAAAGTTATAATACAAAATAATGCTATATATTTATTTATCAAGTATTTTATTAATACCATGAAAAAATTAAAAAAAATATAATTAATAAAGCCAACCATATTAACTACTTGAGAGATTTTGTGACAAAGAGAGTATTCAAATCACACAACAAATTGAAGTGAGAACTACCTCGCAATGTCCTTGTTTGGCAATCAGCAGTTAGCAGTTAGCGTTAGCGGATTATACTAGCGGATTTGACTAGCGAATTTATTTAATTATTAACATTGAGTAGAAAAAATGACCGTCAAATTATTAAATCAAATGAATGGTTCATATTGTTCAGGTTTTAATTTTTTTCTTTTAAGATTTTCTAATTTATCCTTAATTATATGATTATCCATTTAACTTTTCCGTTAATTCACTGTTAGTCTAATTCTAATATTAAAGTCTAATATAGAATTATAACTACACCATTAATCTAATTCTAATATTAAAGTCTTAATAGAACTTAACCATAAATCCTAATGTCGGAATCTCCTCAAACAATATTAGTATATATTTAATATTTTATGCCCTAATTTTTATTTGTTCTCCCTTATGTCCCGTATTTGGTTTCAAGTATACCTATACAATTATTTTATTGACAATTATAATCAATGACTATATTATCTTGCATTTGTAAACTTAGAATTACCTATTTAACTCGCACGGGCTTAGCTCAATGGTTTAGTGGGTAGTATTTGGGAGAAGAGACCAAGGTTTGAACCTTGGCGGCGGCAATGCGGGAATTATGTCCAAAATTGGCAGATTCCTTGTGCGTATCAGCATTTGGCCCTGTCTGCTGAACCAATGAGTCACCGTGATTTACAACTTCCAACAATGCTCTGTCGGGTCGGAGTGTGGGAGGCCATTGGGATTGGGGACTCAACCTTTGGGAGAAGAATTACCTATTTAAATACGCAAATTCAACCTTCAATTATCTATGAATGAACAATTTTAATATAATCCTGCCTTAATATACTTTAAAGTACTTATTTAACAAAAAAGTATTAGACATTATCCCAATCGCGCAATGCGCGTAAAAAACTAGTAATTTAATAAGAGTAAAATAGAGTATTAATTATGCCAACTTTGATTGGGATGAGGTTCGAACCTAAGACCTTTTTTTTTTTTTTTTTTTTATTGAAATCAATGAGTAAGTTAACGGTGAACTAACGGCAATTCTTAAAATTTTAACGGAATTAGTAACGGTGTATGGGTATTTTAGGAAATTTAGTGTAAAATTTAAATCTGATCAATCTTTTAATCAATCTGAGCCATTCATTTGATTAAAATCTGTGACCGCAATTTTTTCTACCAATTATAGGCCTAACTCTCTTGGGCTCTTATTAGTATAGTAGATATTACTCCCATAAATATTATTTTCAACCTCCAAAATTATTTATATTCATTAGTTATTTATAGTAATCTGAAATGATATATTTTTTATATTTATATTTATTCCTACTATAAAATCGGTTAAAGTAGCTGCTAGGTCCTTGTACTATAACATTTTGTTCATTTTAGTCCCTGTACCTTAATTTTGTTCAATTCAATCCTTGTACTTTAAAATTTAGAACAATTAAGGACAAAATTTAACACCGTTTATTTTTAACGTTAAGTTTGCCCACATGACGTTCGATTTGTCATGTCAGATTTTGTCCAAAAATAATATTGTTTTATGCCACACCACAAAAGTTGACATGGCAATACCATATCACAAAATTTGACATGGCAAATCGAACGCCACGTGAGCAAACTTAACAGAAAAAATAAACGGTGTTATGTTTTGTCCTTAATTGTTCTAAATTTTAAAGTACAGGAATTAAATTGAACAAAATTAAAGTACAAGGACTAAAATGAACAAAACGCTACAGTACAAGGACCTAGCAGGTACTTTGAGCTATAAAATCGGTAATAGACGTAACTCGATCATGGCAATTGGGAAGGTAGAGAAGGGTGATAATGCTAATCGTATATTCTTTCTGTTTGATGTTGAGAGATATTAAAATTTTGTTTAGAGAGTTTCGTAATTTAAATCTTTTTTTTTTGCACCAAAAAATAATTAAATTTCTCTTTTGTTAAATGATTTGTGAATGCTCATTCACTTACTAGGCATGTCTCTTTGTCAAAATATATGGAATGGTCCTCTATTCCTTTTGTTTTTTATTTCACATATATTTATTTTCAAACTTGACTAGTTGAATATATATATATATATATATATATATATATATATATATATATATATATATAAAGTTACCCTCCATATATTTTTATATTGACTCACATGTAAGGATGGCAATGGGTCGGAAAGGGCTACATCTATCACCCGACACATCTTATATTTTCTCCACCCATCCCCACCTCTAATCCGTATCGGGTGGACTTTTTCAAAACTCATCTCACCCCCACCGGGTGCGGGTGCCCACTACGGTTACCCACCACTTATCATCTTATTATTGTTTCCAAAGCATAATATTTAAATTATTTATACATAA